GTTGATATTTAGTACAGCAATATGGTGGAAACACACTGTATCTTTAAAGCAGGTTGGTATTGTGTCATTGTATGTGGGAGGATTACACAAATTTGCCTAATTGACCAAAACATTATAACGACACACTCCATCAAGGGTCACCAGTGGGGTTACTTTAACATGTTTGAATTACTGTGCTTGTTCACTAGTATTTCAGGCATTCTAGTTGATGCAGATTGTCACTCATCTAACAATACACTCATGTATCTTGCCCTGACATACAGAAGCTTTCAGAAATGTAAAGCTTGATTCATGTCATTTGCATGTACAAATATCACACATACTACACTGACTGAGATAAAAAACAGCGTACTGTAATTGTATTTTTCAGGATGTCTGCATGTGATATGAGGTTATGAGAGAATATGAGAGATAACAACGAATTTGAGTAGTAAGTTTCAAATCCTTGCAGTTAGATTTATGCACGCAGTGCCAGAGGAACATGATGAAGAGAATTTATAGTTGAAGAGTTAAAGAGGCAAAAGACAACAATGCAGAAAATAAGTAGTTTATTAACTCTATGTCACTTTATGTTTATTTTGTAAAGTTCAAGTTTTATCTTAATTATTGCCTTATTCTTGGGTTCCATGTTTTTCTAAGCCCCAAAAGGTCATGAGTCTGTTATAGTTTATTCTCCCTGCTAAAAGATTATTTGCTAAAATATTGCCTGATAGAGACACTTGACATTTTTGCCAGATGTGTTGGAAACTGTCGACTTTTATCAGCAGTGATAGCATTCATTGTAAATAGCCAACATAATTGCACTTGCACGTGTTTTGACGTACTGCCACCTTTCAAGATGTCTTTTTTGTCCCACAATAATTGGAGTCGATGTTGCCAAGTGTTTGTGAATTAGGTGCTGCCTCCTATTTGCATGAGTGCACCATATATATAACTATATCTGGTCAGGTTCTGTTGTTGTCGTGTTATCAGTTTTTGTTGCGGTACTGTGCTCGAGTAAAAGGTTTTTAGGAATTGCTATTACAACTATTATACCTCTAGTATCATACATCTCATAATATATCCTTTTAGTGTTTCTGTGTACTGCATTGGCATGCTAACCAAGATATATCCACACAATTTAAGGTGTACAAATAAGCATATTTCCCAAAATATTGAACTTTCCCTTTAAGAAATGGGCTAGTTTGCATATTTGCTTTCTTGCCAATTTATATGAGAAGATCGAAACCACTCTCATGTCTGTATGCTAATAGCTACTGCCAGCAACCAGCAAACTTTGCTAAATACAAAGACTGCTAGCCTGGCTCTGTCCAAAAGTAACAAAATCCAGCCCCCTCTAACAAAAGTTTTTTTTAACAGAATAGATAAAATAGTCCTAGCCCTTTTCAGACCTGCACCCCTTTACATTAATCTGACCACAATTTAACATGTAGTTCTCATGTCTGTAAAAGCATCCTTCTTATTTTTATGTAAAAGTCACAACAGCATTCTTACTAGGGTGGAGTAACATTTTCCTACCACTTTCACCATGACACAAGTCTGAATTGAATGCTGTCAGATTAATGGAGAGACTGCAGGGGCACAAGGTGAAACATGGGAGAGAGAGAGAGAGAGAGAGAGAGAGAGATTAAGCACGTCTTGCATTATCTTCTATATATTCATCACTGTAATAAGTGTAAATCATTTTAATTAACTAGGAAATACTGTGAAAGAGCCAGTTCTCATGCTGATCTTCTCTGATTGACTAGTCTATAAAAACTATTTTCCCCTTGCAGTGCTACTGGTTCAAAAGAGGTTAAAAAAACATGTTAAGAAAACTGACCAACAGTCTCGCTACATATTTCCAATGTCCATTAATGTCAGCTTTGTGGATGAATAAATTAATATCCAGCTAAATGCTTTACACAGAGCATGTTAAGACATTAAGAATAAAACAACAGCTTACAGGTCAACTCCCCACAACACTTCTATCATCCATCCGAGATGTCATGTTCAGGTTAAGTTTTCATCAGCTAATTGCAAGTCTCTGAATGCTGACCACATCAACTATGAAAATGAATATTGCAGTTCCATATGTTTTCCTTAAAAGCTGTGCTAATTAGTTCTTTAGACAGCTGAGGCCCTTTGATGTATTTTAATGGAGTTTTTATAAAATAAAAACAGGCATAGATACACAAGTATTAATCTCACATCTTTGGATCTTACAGAGAGAAAAAGATGTTTAAGATGGACAGTAACACAGCAATGTGTGGCCAGCACATGTACTTTCCATACATACTGTAAATACAATAAGTTAATTACAATGAGTAAATAAATGCATATTATTTCCTACAACTGAAAAATCTTGTCACCCCGTAACACAGACAAATCCTCCAGATCAAACGACAAAATCTTTCATTTGTCAATGCCCTCTGGAACAACACACAGGTATTTTCTGATCTGATCACTGTGTCATTATGGTTGCAAGAATAATCACATGGTTAAGATTATGATAACGATGCTTGTTTAAAAAAACTGTCAGCTGGAAACTATGAACATCGGCCTCCTGTGTTAAAGTCCAGTTTTTGTTGATTGTAATGAGATACTGTTACAATAACGTCACCTGACTTCCTCCTTTGTTCCCATCATAATTATTATGGCTGCTAGAGAGCTTTGTCACTTGAATGCAAACAGATGTTGTTTTGGTGCATTTGCTGAAATGACTGACGTTGTCATTTTTCTTGGGAAGAAAGTCTTGTAACACTTGTGAATGCTTGTAAATATGAAAACATGTCTATTAAACTCCTGACTTTATTCTAATCCCTGATTTCTTCATATACTGGGTTATAGATCTAATAGCTCGACAGACAAGGTATGTGACACATGAGACCTGAGACACTGGTGCTGTGTGCATTTCGTATGGATTTTTAGAGGTTAAAACTGAAAATTAAAACAAAGCATGCACATCACATGTGCTAACAGGTGCTATGATTAGCAGGTGGATACACTAGGCTATGTAAAACATAGGCAAATACAATTAAAAACAGCACACATATCAAATGTATTGAATTTCAGAAAATTAATGCATGCTCTGAAAATAATATGAATAATACGACTTTCCTTTTTGCTTTCTCTCTCAGTTCCTGCAAAGCCAAAGATCATGTTCCCTGTATTCGATTAGGCCTGCTTTATATATTCTGAAAATACACCTCATCTCTCTACCTTATTTCACAGCAGTCTAAAATTACATGCAGCCAAAGCAGTCTCACACTGCAAATGGTGGTGCTGCTGCTGCTGCTCCCCCAACGTGATATCAGGTATAACTAAGGGTCTCGGCCCTCTCAAGCCTACAAATGTTTCATACCTTAGACCTCTGACAGCTAAGCCTGTATTTCTTAGCATGAAGACATCTCTCCCATAACTAGCAAGCAGAGGGAAGGGATCATCTTGACATTGGCTCACCTCTTGGTAGTAACAAACAGGGGTGTAATAACAGCATGTGTAGACTATATAGCAGTTTTTATATTACAACACAGCACAGCAAAAAACATCATTATAAAAGTAGAGACAAAATATAAAATATTCATTTTGCCCAAGATTAAAAGTTAATTTTGAGATAATTTTGTAAAGCAATTTCTTTCAAAAACTGTATTGCAAACTGAATACACATTTTCTCTAACTTTCTGTTATATGCTAAATCGTTTTATAATCCTTGTTCTTGTTTCTTTTGTGGTTTCGGTTATACCTTGTTTAAAAGGTAGTTATCCTTTAAACCCTTTAACATATGTATCAAACTGTCTAAAACATTTAAATAATACAAAATCTCTTGGGATCCCCTCGGATGGGACGCCCATCCTGACAAAATTCTTAACTGTACTAAATATTGATTATGATCTTATTAGCCTTAAAACATAAAAACAACCTTCATTTAGTTTATATTTCACCCCTTGGTATATTTAGTGTATTTAATTTTCGTGCTTATCATAACCACCAGCAGATAAAACTATGTCCTTTGTCAAAATGTGTTTCCCAAACATGGAAAAAATATTACTATGCCCTGACACAGAAATATTAAAGGTTGGTGGAGCAAACTGAGGCAAAATGAGTTTTGTGCCAGATAGAGATGTGCAATTACACTGAGCATTCATTATTATGCTTCCACATCCTGCGTCTCCTTTATATGGCGTGTGTTTATTTATTAATATACTGCATTGATTAAGTTGGGTGCAGTACTCTATTTAAGACACCATCTGCTTGGAACCAAGAGTAAGAGTAATTAAAACAAGCTTGCTGCTTAATAGGATTCAGCAAAAAACAAATACAATTTGTGAGCCACTCTGCTTTATGGTTTTTATCCCTCAGCCAATTACAATTCATCCTCGACAGCATTCAGTAAAAGTGCACAGTGTGATGAGCCAAACCTGATAATACTCGTGCTAATTCATACATACATAAGCTGTGAACTGGGGATGCCTGTAAACATATGTGGATATTAACACATACCAATATCCAAAACAGAAGCTGAATAAGCTGATTTAAATATACACACATCTTCCAAGGGACCAATACTTATAACATTTACAAAAAAAACCTCAAAAAAACATTATGTGATGTAATGCAGCCACAAAATTAATCCAGTTTGTTCTTGATAACGGAGATGTGGTGGCAGAAAAATAATCAAAAGCTGTGTGAAGCTGGGTTCAGCATAATAAAATACAATTTAATTTACAGCATAATGAGAATCAACAAAGTTCAATTTCTATGAACACTTGATTGCTGTACTGATTGTTGGAATGTAATCTTTTTGTGATGGAGTGTAGTATCTACTCACTCAAGCGATAAATACGGAAGCTGCACGAGAGGACATCAAAATTTCAGGATATATTGGAGATTGATGTAAGGTTCACTGATGGATTTTATGCTACCTTTGACAGCTTGAGCTTGTCACTTGAATTCAACACTGCTCTGTGGATTTTGCAGTAAGCTGGTTTGTGACAGGAGACCAGAAGTCGGCTACTCACTTAAACACTCGTTGGCGGACTCCCCAGTGGCCCTGGCCCAGGGTCTATCCTGGTAAAAAGGGTGACATCTCTGACAGTCATCTCCCACTGTGTGATGTTGGCAGGAACAGACCAGGCTCCTGTGTTCCCCCTCAAAGCACTCGCTGGCGTGACCGTTACACTTACATCTGAGGGAAACACAGACAGATGTAAAACGTGCAAGTACAACTTTTCCTATACACACTCCCTCTACCTCTCTGCTTCTCCTTGCTGACTCAAGTACAGACATATCTATGCACACAGTGAATGGAGTAGAAGGCAGAGGAGAGGGGAGAGTGAAAGGGTGTTTCTACCGTAAGGAGTTGTCACTTCCTATTATTTTTCACGGGCAAAAACATGGCCCGGATTGAGATGGGGTTCTCATTCCCCTTCAGCAACTAAACTATTCAACTGTGCACTCGGTGCTAATATGCTCACACTGTCCAAGAATATAAGAAAGAGCAACAAGCATCTCTAAGAGTATTAGTGTGTGCAATTTTCAGCCTATATTTACTTTATAACTTTTTCTGTGCACACCATCTTCCAATCAGTGCATGTTGTATAACTTAATATGATAATCATTAGATAAATGGGATTTATTAAATCCATTTTCACAACCAGATAGTTTATATCTGCTAATTTCCTTTCTCCCTGCATTTGGAAAGCATATTATTTCCTATGAAGCACGGTGGCAGCTACGCATTGCTGTGTGTAATATTCCCTGGCAGTGGCGCTGGGTTTTGTCGAGTGGTTGTGATAGGGGACAGGGACTTGTCGCTGAGTGGCAGGCTCTGTCAAATTTAGCCAGCTGTCCCGGATCCAGACGTACGCTTGCCTGAGGCTCAGACCCAGTTATTTCTGTTGTCGCTGAGACAACAACAACCTAGTAACTCCAAAGTGCTTCCAATCCACACATCATATCTCTCTAGTAGAGTAGACTTGAGTTGCTCGTAGATAATTCTAACTGAATATGTCATGAAGGGAGAGACCACCTGAACTGTGCAGGCAGCATATGCGTAGTTCAAAAAGTGAAAAAAAGTTCTCATGTTTTACCAGAATGAAAAGATGCAGAAACAGCATTTTTCATATATGTGGACTGTTGCCACCAATATTATAGCACATTTATTTTCATAGCAGTCCACCTGCTTGCAGTAATATTCTGTATAAATCACGAACAGTCTTTTACAGCATCCGTGAGTAAAACTGGCAAGAGGTGAAGTGTAGCACGGAGGTGTAAAGGCATGTGTACAGAAAGCACTGGTACAAGGCTAACATGTTGTCATGTGGGTCTCTCCCTCAAGTGTTGTAGCATTGGTGGGTAATTTGTCATGCCGCTGCAGTGATCCTAAGTGTTTATGACAGGTGTCAGATCAAATTTATATTCTTTCTGAAGGCTTCATCTCAACTACTTAATCGTCCACTTCTATCTGCAGCGCCAAGGTGCAGCCTGGTCCTTGGCGCCATGTCCTCTCTCATTACTTTGAGTAATAAACCAAAAGAAGTGGAAGGAGGATGGAGGATTATCTTGGTTTATATTCATCTGATGGCGACTTGACAGACAGTAAGGTGTTTTTTATCAGTTTTCCAAACAGCTGTCCAGGATAGGTTTTGATTGCTCCTCTCCTAAAAATGTTCATATATGACATGTTTGCGTATTCACTTACATTTTGGAGTAAAGGTTACTCTGCCCATATATGTTTAGGTTTAAGATACCTCGAAGTTGGAAATTCAAAACCACTGAAGCAAAAAAAAAACACCAGGACAAAATACACTTTAAAATGACAGTTTTTCAGTTGTCATTTGGTGTCACAGTCTCACAGGACAAAGCCTGAGCTAATGTGACTCATTTTAAACATTTCTGAAAGAATATTTTCTTTGCAGGGTGAAACTGTCCTGGGAGGCACATTTTCTGGTGTCTCTTACCTGCCACCCACAGAGAAATCAGATATGGCATAGAAGTACGAGCGCAACACTTTAGCGTCCTTGAAGAACTCGTCTCCAAAGGTGTTAAGCCTGTCCAAAGAAATGAGCAGGTCAGTGGCTGTCACCCATTCCTGGAAAAGAAAAGAAGGTGGGGAGGAAGAAAAGACCAACAGGGTGAGAGAGATGTTAGAAAACACATTTGTAGGTCATCCACTTCAAAAAGGTGGAATGAAAGAGAACCAGAGGGGGCATTGTGTTGACTGCTGCCAATCTTGGAGGCACAAGGAAGCAGACAAGAAGTTAGGAGGAAAAAAAAAAAACTGGGCTTTAGTTAAGAGGAGGGAGGATAGGTAAGACCTAAAAAGACAGGGCAAAGGAAAGAAGAAGTTGGAGTGGAGAGTTGGTGGATCAAGAAAAGTGTAACGGCAGGGAAGAGAGCAGATGTAATGGGGAGATAATGATTATGGTGTAAGGAAATTGAGTTAATGTCAGAGAGAAGGGTAAAGAAAGAAGGGGATTAATGGAGACAAAAGCCGAAATATGAAAAAAACATGAGAAAAGAGACAACACTGCAGCACTACTTCAGTATAATGGATGGGACGTGGCAAAGCTCCTATCCCTGATATGATTTAAGCTCCTCTGTTTGAGCCAACTGCAAAGGTAAAGACAGGATGAAGCAAGAGTGGGAGAAGAAAGTGAAGAGGGATAACACAAACAGAGGAAAGGCAAACGGGAAGTGCAATAGTGGGGTGGAAGATAAAAGTGAGGCCAGGTAAAGAGAGAACAAATGACATGAGGAATCTCTTACCAGTGAACAGAAGCAACTTTAAAACAAATAGCTGGAGAGAAACTTTCTGTCTGTTTCTTGGCTGGGACTCTGTGGCAGTCCTGAAAAAGCCTGTAATGCTGTACGTTTTGAAGCTTCTCCCCAGAGGTGTCTTTGAAGTGTGGCAATGGGAGAGAAGGAGATTGGAGCGGATGGGTCTCAGACTGAAAACATGTGTGATGAGTTCATTCATTCATGTTCTTCTCAAGTGTTATAGTTTGTCTTTGTAGTGCTAATGCCTATCAAATAGTGCTGGACTGAATTGGACTGGGGGGGTTTTTGCCTACAAATCATGTATACTTTATACTTTACCTTGTTGTTTTGCAACGCATACCATATATACTATACCATATATTTTCCATGGTGTGGCTCTAGATGCGAGATGCTATTCTGTTTTGTGTGAAATGCCTCAACAACTGTTGGATGGATTACTAGTGTCCACCTCAGAATAAATTGTAATAACTTTGGTGACCCTCTGACTCCATCATCAGGTCAAAATGCAAAACTAATAACATTCCCATCAGCCACATTGGTAGGCCTACTTTATGTTTACTGTAAATTAGCAAATGTTAGCATGCTAACATGCTAAACTAAGATGTTGAACATGGTGAACATTATACCTGCTTAATAATGTTAGCATTAGTGTGAGCATGTCAGCAGCTCCCTCAGTAGATATAAAAGGCTCATTCTGGGGTAACAAAAACACAAAGTTTCTAATGAATATTATAGTCAATGTATTGTTATATACTGGACATTTGAGGCTGATGATCCTTTCCTATCTGACCATTATTTAATAACTTTTGAATTCATACTATAAGATTATAAGCCATTAGGCAAAACTTCCTACAGCAGATGTTTATCTGACAGTGCTGTAGCTAAATTTAAGGAGGAGATTCCTTCAGTGTTTTCAATGCCATGTCTGATAGTCCTATAACAACTTTAGTACCTCTGAAATTGATAATCTTGTCGATAGTGCTGCAGGCTCACTACGATCAACATTAGACTCTATTGCTCCTATAAAAAGGAAATTATTAAAACATAGGAGACTAGCACCTTGGTACAACCACCAAACCCGCCAGTTAAAGCAAATAGCTAGGAAATCTGAAAGGAAATGGCGCTCTTCTAAACTATCAGAATATCGCTCAATTTGGCAAGATAATCTAAAAACTTATAGAAAGGCCCTCCGTAACGCCAGAGGAATCTATTATTCAGCACTAATAGAAGAAAATAAGAATAACCCTAGGTTCCTCTTCAGCACTGTAGCCAGGCTGACAGAGAGTCACAGCACTATTGAGCCACATATCCCCATAACCTTAAGTAGCAATGACTTCATGAGCTTCTTTTATAATAAAATTATTACTATTAGAAAGAAAATTAATCACCAACTGCCATCAACAGCTATCAGTGGCTCTCCAAGTTCAGGGACTTTTACTAATGTAAACTTACATATATATTTAGACTGTTTTTCTGCTATCGATCTTCATCAGTTAACTTCAATAATTTCTTCATCGAAGCGATCAACCTGTCTGTTAGACCCGATCCCAACTAGGCTGCTTAAAGAAGTTGTTCCCTTAATTGGCACTTCTTTACTGGATAAGATTAATCTTTCTTTATTGTCAGGATATGTACCACAGTCCTTTAAAGTAGCTGTAATTAAACCCCTTCTTAAAAAGCCCACTCTTGACCCAGGGGTTTTAGCCAACTATAGACCAATCTCTAACCTCCCCTTCCTCTCTAAGATCCTGGAGAAAGTAGTCGCCAAAGAGTTGTGTGACTTTCTACATAACAATAGTTTATTTGAGGATTTTCAGTCAGGATTTAGAGGTAATCATAGCACAGAGACAGCTCTGGTTAAAGTTAATAATGACCTTCTGATTGCTTCTGACAATGGACTTGTCTCTGTATTTGTATTATTAGATCTTAGTGCTGCATTTGACACCATTGACCATGATATTCTTTTACAGAGACTTGAGCATCAAATTTGCATTAAAGGAACCGCACTAAGCTGGTTTAAGTCATATTTATCAGATCGTTCGCAGTTTGTACATGTTAACGATGAATCTTCAATAAATACTACAGCTAGTCATGGAGTTCCACAAGGTTCTGTACTTGGACCAATACTATTTACTTTGTATATGCTCCCTTTAGGCAACATTATTAGGAATCACTCCATTAACTTTCACTGTTATGCAGATGATACGCAGTTATACCTATCGATCAAGCCCGATGAAATTAATCAATTACCTAAATTACAAACATGTCTTAAGGACATAAAATCCTGGATGAGCTGCAATTTTCTGATGTTAAACTCAGAAAAAAATGTCTTTCTTGTTGTTGGCCCCAAAAACCTTAGAGACTCACTGTCTAAAGATATAGTTACTCTAGATGGCTTTACCTTGGCCTTTAGCACCACTGTCAGGAATCTTGGAGTTATCTTTGATCAGGATTTGTCATTTAACTCCCACATAAAGCAGACCTCCAGGACTGCCTACTTTCATTTACGTAATATTACAAAAATTAGACACATCCTATCACAGACAGATGCAGAAAAACTAATCCATGCATTTGTTACTTCAAGGCTGGATTACTGCAACTCTTTATTATCAGGTTGCCCCAATAAGTCCATTAAAACGCTCCAATTAATTCAAAACGTTGCAGCACGAGTACTGACAGGAACTAGAAAAAGAGATCACATCTCTCCTGTACTAGCTTCTCTGTACTGGCTCCCTGTAAAATGTAAAATAGAATTTAAAATCCTCCTCCTCACCTATAAAGCTCTTCATGGTCAGGCCCCTTCATATCTTAAAAAGAGCTCATAGTACCCTATTACCCTCTAGAACACTACGTTCTCTGAATGCTGGTTCCTATAGTCTCTAAAAGTAGAACAGGAGCCAGAGCCTTCAGTTACCAAGCTCCTCTCCTGTGGAACCAGCTTCCAGTTGTGGTTCGGGAGGCAGACACCCTCTCCACATTCAAGAGTAGGCTTAAGACGTTCCTCTTTGATAAAGCTTATAGTTAGGGCTGGATCAGGTGAGTCCTGAACCATCCCTTAGTTATGCTGCTATAGGCCTAAACTATCTGGGGATTTCCCATGGTGCACTGAGCTCCTCTCTTCCTCTCTCTCTCTTTTTGCACTCATTCATGTCCCATTAATGCATGTTACTAACTTCACTTCTTCCCCGGAGTTCTTGTGCTTTCTCGTCTCGCAGGTTCTTATCGATCCTGGTGGAGCCTCCTGCCATGGTCCTGCTAGATTGCCATTGCCAATACTGTTGTTACTGTGCACCTGTTTGTCTGTCTGTCTGTCTGTCTGTCTGTCTGTCTGTCTCTCTCTCTCTCTCTCTCTCTCTCTCTCTCTGTCCTCTCTCTCTGTGTCTCTCTCTCTCTCTCTCTCACCCCAACTGGTCGAGACAGACGACTACCCACCTAGAGCCGAAGGATCTGTCCTAGGTTTCTGCCTTTTGACAGGCAGTTTTTCCTTGCCCTTGTCGCCAAGTGCTTGCTCACGGTGGTACTGTTGGGTCTCTGTAAATAATGCTATAAAGAGTTTGGTCCAGACCTGCTCTATTTGAAAAGTGTCCTGAGATAACTTCTGTTATGAATTGGTGCTATACAAATAAAATTGAATTGAAATTGAATTGAATGATGACATTTTTGTAATGTAAAGTTACAACTTTTAACATAGAAATGCAATTGAAAGCAGGGACAATTCTGAAAATTAATGTATGAAAAGAGCATGGATACTCAGTATTGCAATAAACAAACATGGATGTTTTGAAAAGGTATGAAGGACATGACAACATGATTTTAGTTTTTTCTATGAATTAAAATGTAGTGTGTAATGTGTAAATGTGTAAAGCAGAACACACAGTCCCTGCTGACATGCTGTTATTCAATGATGACATCTAAAGCAGCCATCTTTCATAGATTATCAGTCTCAAGCAAGTTTTAAATGTCTGCAAGCTGATTTTTATATACTGCAGAGAAAGGAACAGAAATCACTGTCACTCTCTGGAAGTTATAAGTCAGTCTAAAAATATTTAAGTTTAAAGTATTTGTAATTAATAGGCTTAAAAGCATGAAAACAGCAGGCATAGTATTGTAGGATATAGAACCCCATAATCTGTATAGTGAGCAATGAGCAAATGTGACAACATTTTCATTCTTTAACTACATAAAACTATTTTAAACAGTACAATTAAGCATTGCTCTTTCTTCAGCAAGTGAAGAAAGTGGCTTAATTGGTTAGTAGCACATATAACACAGATGACACTACTGGGCCCTCTGAGGCTCTCTTCACAGGTA